ACCCCCCCCCCCCCCCCCCCCCTTAGGGGAACCGAGATAAACCTGTGTCAGGATTCATCCAGCTCTGAATCCATACAAAAGATCAAACAATCAATCTCCGATTCAGGAAGAGCACAGATTTAACACTTTGATACGCGCATCTGCTTATGAATGTAGCAGTCTAGAGAGATACTGAGCCTAAAACTGAGAGTTTGATATTGAACGCAATCGTTGTGGAAAACTATGTCAGTTTGTGTTTAAAAGCATCTCGATAAAGGGAACCCCCTGATAACATCTTTTGAAATAGCAAATAAGATCTTGCAACGGGGGAGTTGTAAAAAACACTCAGACAGGAGCTGGCAGAATATATGCTTTGATTTCTAATAACTGTCAGTCACTAAAGACAGTAAAGAGAGATCGGGGAATGTACACTAAGAACCCACAATCATTTTGTGTGCCAGTGAAATGACACTGGCAGTCAATAAATCTGCCATTCAAATAAATCTGTATTTTCATGCTCCTGAGGAAAAATAAAGGTAGAAAACTTCCTGTAAAAATGCCACGAAGTAATATGTGTTGTGTATTCACACAGACAAAATAAGAAAATGCTGTGAGGCAGAGGGATTTTGGTGCCATATTGTTTTACTGTTGCCTTATTGTTCAGTCTGCTGTGGTGTGAGGTCTGTTGTTGAAAAGTAATGGTGTCAATGAATCACAGGAACGTAGGGTGGTGCGGATATGGCACCTTGCTGTCTCTGAAGCTGATTAAGTGTGTGCATGAGTGTGTGTCGTAATGAAGTCTCAAGAAATTCCTGATCAGATTTCATTTTTGAAAACCAGCTGAACACCAAATGAAATATGATGAATGTCTTATGAAAAATTGGATGTTGTCCCATTGTGATTTTTGATTTGGAATTTCACATACACTATCATACATTTATGATGAATTCTAATACTAATACTAAATAAATTTATTCAGCAAGCTATATTAAACTGATCAAAAGTAAGTGTAAGTAAAAGATTTGTATTTTAAATAAATGCTGTTCTTTTGATATTTCTATTCGTCAATAATGTCATGAAAACAATCACAGTTTCCAAACACAAATAATAATAATAAATAAGCAGAACAACGTTTTCAACATTGATAATAAGAAGAAATGTTTCTTGAGCACCAACTCAGCATTTTAGAATGATTTCTGAAGGATCATGTGACAATGAAGACTGGATTAATGGCAGCTGAAAATTCAGCTTTGCTATTACAGGTGTAATTTACATTTTAAATATATTAAAATAGAAAATTGCTATTTTAAATCGTAATAATATTTCACAATGTTACTGCTTTTATTGTATTTTTAATCAAACAAATGCCATTTTGGGGAGCATGAAAACATTTTCTTTCAAAAACATTTAAAAAATCTTACAGACCCCAATCTCTTGAACAGTAGTGTATGATGAGGTTAGCCTTGAGGTCTAAGAATTTTTTTAAATGCATATCTCAGGGCTCCAAACAAAAAAATAGAGTAAGGAGCCATTGGCTCCTATAAGAAAAAAAATGTAGGCTCCAAATTATTTTCTTAGGTGCCACAGAATAAACGTGTTTTATTTATTTTATTATTATTTTTTAACATTTCAATCATACTTTCATGTGTTTATGTCTTATCTTTTCTTGAATTTATCAGCATTTTAATCAATCTTGTAGATGACCTGGGAACTAAGGTTCACTTAAAGTGGGAACTAAACGTCTTTTCCAACTTGAAATATGGTCACAAAGAATTGTTCATGACACATAATCTGTACCAATGGACCATGGACCATAACAAGCATCACTTGGCCACTGAGTATAGTTTGGGCTCCTCCTCGGTGCATCCTGTAAATGTTGTCATATGTCTTTCACACATTCAGTCTGTTTTTCTTCATTAGTAAAACGCAATTTTGAAGGAGGAGTTGAATCATGTAGACAACAGGTTAAGTAAAAATATTAACATCCAATAGTGCATAAATATAGCAAAATGCTCTTCTTTATAGTTATTTTTCTAGCTGACTGATGAGCTTATGGATACCGAAGGGTTATTCTGAGGTAAATGTATATTACGTTGCAATATTTACAAGTTTTACACATTTTCCCGCAGTTTGAAACACTGAATGAGCTTTTACATGAGACATTTCAGTAAGTTGTACTGTAGGCTTTCTTATGAAATAGGCTACGTTTTGATGTTAATTCATGTTCATTATGTACTATAGTAGTAAAGAGAAAGATTAAATGGGTTCACTTGCCACTTGAACTGAGGCGCTAAAGCGATCGTGCCTGCCGCATTAAAGAGCACCAAAACCGTATTTATTGTTTGAATTTTGTTATGAATTTGGCATAATTTTAAAGCTGATACTTTGTTTATTAAAAAGTAATTAAGATTAATGGATGGCAAGTGTGCTTCAAATAATATGAAGTTCACACATTAACAGAACACAGCATATAGACTAAGATCTTGATAAGAAGCCATATTAGTAATGATTATAAACGAGAATTGTTAACGACATTGCCAATATCCACACAGCTGACAGCTTTACCTGTTGTAGTTTGTTCAAGTTGTGCACGAAATAGACTCTGCTTTTCCACACTTTTACTTGCACGTCTCCGTCATGTCGATCTCTCTCGCGCTGCACAACTGAGCTGCGTTTAGCAGGTGTGCATCAGTGCTGCAGAGATGACTGTTTGAAACTCTTTTTTCCACTAAAACTTTGATGCGCATTGTCTCAGTTTAATACGTGAACATAGCAAATGAAGCGATCGCAAAACAATCAGGAAAAAAGGCATTACATGCAAATCTTTAAGTCATAACATGTAAATATATATATTCGCCAGTGGCGACCTCAGCAAAAACTACACTGGCAAAATTATATTTTTGGTCGCAAATGCGACCGTTTTAGTCGCAGTCTGGAGTCCTGTATCTATTTATAGTGCCCAAAAAGTATATTTGTCTGAATGTCATTGTATTAGGTAACAACATATTAGTGATAGTAAAGCTTTTTCAGAACTAACTTTATGTTTCTGAGCATTTTTGTCAATTAAAAGATGTATGATTTCCAAATACAAATACCTTTTTTTGTAAAATATTTTACTTTAAAAGTATTATATATTTTCTCATAAAATAAATGACAATAGTCTGATCTATTTATTATATCATGCAAGGACATTCATGTATCCAAATAGCCACTGTATATATTTATATAAGTTCACAGCAAGCCTAAGCTACACATAACATGTCTGAGGTGTTGAGCTCGAACCTTCTGCAGAAAGAGGACGATCCTCTTCACCATCTCTGCCCTCTGCTCCTCCAGGCTGAAGATGGTTCGAGGGGTGCGAATAAACACTTTGGTCTTGCCGTAGGCCACGTCGTGTTCGAACCCACAACTCTGCAACAGACGTTTCACCGCCTCCTTATCAGACGGCAGGTCATGGTTGGGCCAGGTGAACTCTGAGATCATCTTATACCTAAAAGGTGAAAAGGAAAGGAGAATGTTTCAAGGATAGAGCAATACCTTGTTATTTATAAACATATATATTTATTAAATAGGTTTACATTTGTATAATTATTATTGCTATTATTAAATTTAAACAGGAAAGAAAGAGTTACTTATCAATAAAAATCACACTAAATTCTTTCGTCAATGTAATTTTACACATTAATACAGGCTTTAAGCACATCTTATCCAATCAGAATACAGAGTCTGATCTATCCGTTTCATAACAAGCATTATATAACACAATGAGTGCTTATTTAAGAGCGATGTGAGGCCAGACCCTTTGGATTCAATCCTCATTTGTCCAGTCTCACCTCTAGGTAGTACATTATATTCCATGCACATCTGCAACCGTGACAGATGCACAAATCACTCATGCGAGAGCTGTTAACACTGCATTCTCAATTAGATGAAATTCAGCCTACCTTTTGCTCAGCAACAGACATTTTGTGAATCTCATCAACTCTGTGGCAAGTGTGTTTCTATTTGTTTGGAGCCGTATACAGAGGCCTCAGAGACATTTAGGACACTTCATCTTAAAGAAAACTGAGACTATCTTATAGGTTTTTGCTCAAGGATTCTGGTCCCTATATATTGAGAATCATTGTATATTGAGTGACAGTACAATGTATGCTCTACTAACTCTCAAGGCTTTTGAAAAAGACTCAGCTTGCACGTCATTATTACATAAAACCCTTTAGCAATTGTAACTGGGTGAAAAAGGGACCCCAGAGGATGACAGTTTTCACACCAACAGATGTTGCATAAGATCTTCACAATCTGATTGATCAATCTGTAGTTTCCGATGTCACTAGCAACCAAAGGCGCAACAGTCTCACACAAGCTGTCACAAGAGCATTGAGTTGCAATTCATGAGCTGAAACCATACACGAATGTCAAATCATGCAGAACATCAAATAAAAAGACTACTGAAACATAAAATAAACAACTAAATGGTTAAAAATGCTTTGAAATTGACAAGTTGGCCATACAAATGGAAAAACGTAGGATGTTCACCTCTGAAGGAACCGTGGGTAGATTTGTCGGTTAGCAAAACCAGCTCGTCGCACCCGGACGTTCTCCAGGAGGCCCAGGTACTCCACTTGGTGCTTGCAGCGCTCATGCTCAAACAGTAGTGGTGACTTAACTTCATTCGGCTTTATGCAACGCACGTAGTACGGCTCCTGTATGAACCAACAGAGGGCGATGGTGAGTGCGCATCTATAAAGTGCAACAGTGGCCCCAAACTTTTTCAGTAACCTTCTCACTAGGAACCCCTCTGATGAACACAATTATTTAAATAATTAGTTGAAATGATGTCGATGGCTTCAACAAAAGTTATTGCCATTGATTGCCAAACACAGTAGCTCTGTCTTTAAAGGCTTATAAGATATTGTTAAAAATCAATTCCCCTATGGAGAAAATAAATGGGATTTTTCTTCTGGAACTTGACTGTTGCACTATTAAATAGTGTTCTGGAATACTTGACTCGACTGGTTATTCACAGCCTTCTGCATGAAAATATTTTTTATAATGACGGATAAACCATACTTAACTTCCTACAGAGATTTGCCATTTCATCTCATATTTTTAAAAAAATCAACTGAAATCAATACTTAATGTCTACATGTGTATTTATTTGGTAAGTTGCCTTGTAAAAAGCACAATAATATGCATTTGTTGGTCATTATCGCAAAAACTCTTTATATTGCAATGATGGTCTGACTTATCACTTATATATTATATAAATCAGTCATGGTCTACACAAAAATGCTTCAAACACACCCACCTTGCTGGCCAAGTTCTCCACCAGAGAGATCATGGAGTTTTTGAAGAGTGTGGCAGCAGTCAGGGGTCGTTTGGTGACCTCTGTGATCCTCAGCTTGCCCTCTGGCCACATGGCTTTCAGTACAGGGTTTGAGCTGTGAATCAAGGAAGGAGAAGGACAGATATAAGTCAAGGATGTTGTCTGACATCTGGCAGGTATGCAAATAAGAACAAAGGGATATACTTTATGGTAATACTGACCTGTTGTAAAGTAACCTCTTGAAGTCCTGAAACAAGGTGTCCTTGTTCTTGTCAATAAAGCCTACAACAGAATAACTGAAACAAAACACACAACCACACCGACTAAATTACACAAATATACACAGATAGTCTGCACATGGCAAATTTCAGACTTAAAGGTGAATTGTGCAATTTCTTTGCCTATATCAACACAAAAAGTATTTGAAAAATAATGATTTTGATGATCATTGAACACTCCCTCCATCTGCAAATCCAACATTGGAGTTCCAGAAGTAAAAATGCCATTCCTTTTTTCAACAGGGGAATTGATTTTAAGTGATAACATTTTTAAATGCATACCTACTGTGAGGTAGGAGGTTGTTAATCAATGGAATGCTTTTATTGCAGCCATCAGCCCGCATTATTTCAACTAATCTTTGTTTTACCCTATTGCAAAAATGAATGGAAAAAATACTTCTGGAACCAAGGCCAATGAAAAAGTGGGCAGACATTGCTCTTCAAACTTCAAATGGATTACTTGAATAAGATAAAGTATTTTATCATTGAACAAAATTATTCACTTCACCTTTAACACTGATCTAAATATGAGTGTTATTATAAAATACGAGCAGTATTATAACTGACACAGACAGAACTCTGTCTCCTTAACTGAGAATATATAATTTTAGATATCCTTCCCCTACCCATTTCTCTCTTTCTCACACACACACACAAAGGGGTCTGAACATCAACAAGGCATTTCAATGTGGTGTCACATCACACCTACACCCACAGAACTTTAGGAACTAACTGACAGCCTGCAATCTGGCAAACCGCTGAAGTGAGAAAATGAAACTGCATTCACATTCGAAATCAACTTGTTTTGGTAACTGGCATTTACATAATTCGGAGTGAGTAATATGCTTGCGCCATTCAAATGTTTATTTACCAAACTTTTTCAAACCCAATCTGTGCCCAAGGGAAGAACTAGATCTCTTTCCACTTAGCTAAGTCTTCTGTGGGTTACTAACAGTGATTTTTTAATTACAGCATTTAGGGCTTATGCTGCAAAACAGCAGAGTGCACTTACGCCACATCTCCAGCATAATGGCGGATGCGGAAGTCTCGGTCAAACTCCAGGTTTTTGTCCGTGGGGGAAAGCTGTGGAGATAGAGATGGGAAATTAGAGTTTTTTTTAAACAGAAAGTAGACTTTTGAAATAACGCTTAGAAAGCAACTGCAAATTTTTCCAGTAAACAAGCCTGCAAAAGTGCAGTAGAGTCAGAGAAAGAGCGAGGCAGCTCAAAGACTGGGAGGGAGCATCTAAGTAACTCTGCGATTATGAAAGATAGATGAGATGCACACTTATATCCAGCATAAGACGGCGGAGCTTAAAAAGCTGTGCTGAAAGAAGTTCAGTGAAAGAATGTGAAAGAGATGGTGCCCTTTAAACTACACAATTTAGTTTTGAGTGGCATGTGGGCTTACTTTAATTATAGTTATAAAAAGGATATTTCTCACTCTAAATTTTGATTTCATGAGCTGCATTTGAAGCTGTAAAATATACACCTGTGGCCACATGGTTTGTATTAATGTATCAAGTTGTTATGCAACCAATCAGCCTACACTTACAGTTTTATTAATATTTTACCTGCTGGGAGAATTGTTAGTTCCACTTAACTTGATTAATAAAAGCAATATTATTAATACTATTAATAAAAGCAACTATTTACTGAACAGTAGTTGGGTACAGAAACCCGGTACCAATATGGCACCGGTACCTATGTAACCGGTATGTACTAGAACCGTATCAGAAAGCAGATTTCGGTGCCATGCCTGAGCGATCGATTGAAATATTGTCCTCTGGTTCTCCAAAACGGACGTAAGAAGCATCATCACCGGCACCGCACGCGGAAAATAATTTCCCGACTGAGAAAATGCACGTGAACTCAAGTCGGAAAGCTCTAAAAATACAAATCCAACAAATCTTTGGAGTAATGAGAGCATCCATGTTGTTTTCACATTCCGACTTAAAAGCACAACTCGGGAAATGAAAGCATCCGAGGAGCGCGTGAATGCAGTAATTACACTTGCTCTGATGGCAGCAGGTAGCCTTCCGTTAACTAAGCTAAACATGCTTAAATTAAAAAGAGTGTCCATGTTGTTTTCACATTCCGACTTAAAAGCACAACTCGGGAAATGAGAGCATTCGAGGAGCGGGTGAATGCAGTAATTACACTTGCTCTGATGGCAGCAGGTAGCCTTTCGTTAACTAAGCTAAACGTGCTTAAATTAAAATGCCTAAAGCTAAACCTCCCTTGTATTCACATTTCTAAACCTGTTGTCCAACAAAAGAGAACATTATAACCTTTTTACTCCACAACACCAGTCAAATGCTTCCTTTTGTGATCTGATGAGGCAGAAAATATGTTCCATATGCTACTTTAAAAAGAATACATCGATTAGCAATATATTATAAATTAGGGTGACCATACATGTCCTCTTTTCCCCGGACATGTTCTCTTTTTGGACCTACAAAAAATGCGTCCGGCCGGGATTTCTTAATTGCCCAAAATGTCCGGGCTGTTTCCTTATCCCGCTCCCCTGAATCTCTGACCATTGCCGCCTGCTCCCGCAACATGTGTTTTGCTCCCGCGATTTTCGTGTCTACTCCTTTAAACATTCTAATATTGTGTATAATTTTGGCGCATCAGGGAGCCGCTCTCAGGATGCGGTGTATTAAAATATTTTTGAATGAGCGTTTGCGCTGTTTACTTTCACTTTCGATTTTGCGATCACACGCACTCTGTTTAAAGGGAGCACATCTTACAAGATCAGATATTTGTCAATGAGCTCAGAATCTGTTGAGCAGCAAATACTCCAGCATGGTCTTGTCAGTCATCTCTCCTTATTCTCGACCTGTGATCAGTCAAAGCTGACTCCGGTAGCTCTTGTTGGATGCAGGTAATCTTCAAGTAATCTAAAATACCCATATGTTTGATAATGCATACATAAACTAGCCTTTAAATATATATGTAAAAAAAAACTGTAACTCTTTAACTGTAAAATTTGCAACTGTGCATAAACTTGCTCTAAGGCCCTGTTATCAGTGCCAGATCACTGTCCTCCTTGAGAAGCCTCTGTATGCCGTGTGAGGGCAGCTAGTGCAGTTATATAAGACTCACTGTCATTCATAAAATACAGCAGTGACATCAAAGGCAAGCAGCCTCAGCTCTCATTAAGATGCAGAATGCTGCTGATCCACTGCATGAACAGGGATGCCCGTTTCTGCAGATTAAAGCAGAACGGAACAACGAAACTCTGTATCCTTCTAGCCACAAGCCATCATATGCCCACACACCGATTAATTAAAGGATTTACTATCAGTAAGTTTTAGTGAGCTTTTGTGTCGCAGTCTCTATTGTGGTAGACACCAGCATCTCTATTCTGTGTCGGGTGCCAGTTTATGAGTCTCTGTTTGGTTTGTCTATGTGGTGACTCACTCGGCTCATTTGAACTGCAATACAGATAAAATGGTCCTCTAAGGGAATGGATGAGAAGCTACATCTCTACCAGAGAGGACAAACTCTGAACACTTCACCTGAAGTGTGATCATGTGACACTGAATGCTGGAGAAATGGCTGCTCAAAATTCAGCTTTGCATCAAAGGAATACATAGTATTTTAAAATAGATTAAAAACAAATTTAACTATATTACTGTTTTCCTGTATTTTTAAGCCTTGGTGAGCACAACTGAATTTTTTTCAAAAACATTTAAAAAAATCTTACTGACCCCAAACTTTTAAACAACATGTGTGTACACACACACACACACACACTTTTTTTTTTGCTGAACTAAAAAGAAGTTAAAATGCAAATTAATTGTGATGCATTATTTTAACCTACTGGCATCCTTATTTTTAAGATGAAAATTATGTTTAATAGGTTTAACAAAGCAAAATCCCAATCTTCCCCAGTACATTCTGGAACCTGCTTAAGTAGGATTGAACTAATGACCTTCCAATTAAAAGCCTCAAGCTTTAACTACAACAAAAAGAATAAAACAGATTAGATTTAGCCACCAACACTGCTACCCTAAAGCATTTTTTGGCATGTTTACAACTTTTATTTGTACAATCTGGATTCAAACTCACATCATCTAAAAAGTTTGGGTCCACCTGTGCTAACCTCTAGGCCACAGTTATTAACTTCACAAGCACTCCAATTCTACCCGGTTCAGATTTGCAGAGTAAAAAAGAAAAAGAAAAGAAAAGAAAAGAAAAAAAAACTATGTTTTATTGTACAGACACATTTAATCCCGGATCCTGCTGGTCGCACAGATGCCTCCCTGCCCTCCTACTCCAAGCTTTATTCTCACCCCCCATGACTACACCATCCTGTCTAACACCTGTGCTTCTCAATACAGAGTGTTGGTTATGCCAATCAAACAAACACAGCAATGCCAATGGCACCTGCCAACAAAGCCACCAATAGCCAGGTATCCAAATCACAGTGGACTCTAGACATCTAGATCAAACACAGAGGCCAATATAACAGTAAACTGTGAAAACATTTATTTGAATTTATATATATAACAAAAATAAGAATCCTTGCAACTGCTTAGATACAGAGCCCAAATAAAATAGGACTCATTAAATGTGGTTCACAAAACCTTATTGTTGAATTTAAATCAATTCAAGAACTGAGGAACAATGACTGAAAAGAACAAAAAAGAAACTGAGGAATTCAAGATCTCTTTATAAAATTTGAAAGTTTTTTAACTTTTCTTGTTTATTAATTGCACTCCAAAATACACAAGGCATAAATCACGGATATGGGTTGGAAAGATAGATGCGTCACGCAAATTGGATGCACTTCGAAAGGTCAGCAGCAAGAAAGGTCAAAGTTGAAATCACTTTGTGCTTGACCAGCGCTGTGGGGTAAAGCTGAAGTAGAGTTCAATGCACTGGCCAATACTAACATGAGTCATGTGGAAAGAACCTCAAGAAAAACAACCTAGCTAATGTTAAACTTAAAAAGCTGAGTCCAAAATCCAGGTCCATTGACGTGTCAATGCACGTCGCACTGGGAATTCACCAATTATCCTGTAACATACGTGCTAACTGTGTGTCTGTGCTTTACACGTCACCACAAAAACAATGCAATTACTTCCACTACGATAGAAACAAGTCATGATCTCTTCCTAATGAACAATTCTGCAGAAAAGCAAGTCACAGAGGCTAGCGGAGCTCTTCTCCAGGAACAGAAACCAACAGCTAATTGACTGGTTGCTTCGGCCTACACAAGCCTGATCGGATAATGAGGCTGCCTTTGCCCTCACACAACCAGGCATCCAAGCACTCCCATGGCAGCATCCGCTCACACAGCCACGCTTGTAATCAGCAAGTGATGAAGAGAGAGAAAACAAGGGGTGGGGGAATTGGGATCAAAGAGAAGAACAGGAGAAAGGAACGAAGCCCCCGGTGCTTACCACCAGACAGCCGCTTGTGTCAGCAAATAACAGCAATTAAAAGATGATGGGATAAGAAGCATTTTTATAACACACATCTGGAAGGATCAAAGCCATTTTAAGGGTGTGATGAAAACGTGGGAAGCACGGAGAACACCAAGAGCCTGCCTGCGAGGCACATGAAGGAAGACGTAAACAAGCCGATAAAGCACAGAAGGTGAAAGTGGCTGTAAATGAAGCACATTATTGAGATGGATATGGCAGCTCGAGGCTAGATCTGCCATTACATCTGATGTTTTTATCTTAGATAAAACATATAACATGTATACAGAATGAGGCTAACTCTTTATGCAAGCAATTAGATATGAAAGTGAGGCTTCTGCCATCAAAGCACTGTTGTACAACTAAATGTTTTTTTACATTTAAAGAGGGGAAATTGTTTTGCATAGGGGAATCAAATCATCTCCAGCATGAGAACCAATGCTGACAATTCAGCTTTGCCATAACATGAATAAAGTACATTTTTAAATATATAAAAAAAAAGGAAAACAGTTACTTTAAATTGGAATAACATGTTGCAATATTCATGTAGTTTTGCTCAAATAAAGGCAGCCTTGGTGAGGATAAGAGAGCACGTGTAGTATTTTTCATAACATGTTTGTATTTCTATTCTACACTAGTCTGATGTCACTAACCTGTCCATGGTTTTAAGTTAAAATACAATTTTAAAGATTTTTACAGAATGTTTTCAGAATAAATGCGCAGGAAGTGTTACAATTCATTGCTATCCCCCACTCAAAATTAAACATCTATGCTCTATAACCTATTTATAATCACTAGAATTTTATAACATATCATCCACAAATCATGCAGAACATTTGAATTTAAAAGTTCAAAATGAGTGAATTAATGAAATAATAAACCATTTATCTCTTCCTCGCTGCTACTATGTACTGTATGTCCAGTGCAGCTTATGGCAGAGCATGTTTCACATTTCCTGTAAGGCCTAAGTTAAGAGAAAAGAACTACAGAGAAAGAACTCCAATCCACAGAGCATACATTTCACACTTGAAATCAACCAAGGGTAAAAATTCCCCTCTTAAACCAAGACTGCAGAGGAAAAGAGCAAAGCAAAAAGGGTAAAAATCCTTAGTAAACAAAAGAAGAAAAAAAAATTCACAAGAGACAGTCACAGATTTTTAACAAGCAACCATTAATTATGCTGTTAAAGCAGCCTCCATATTTTGTGTCTTCTAGAGAGGATGTCTATCACCACAAACAAGCTTTGAAACATCTCAGAGGTGGCTGTGAAAGACGAAAGTGTCACAGCCTAGATCTAATATGTGTGAACACACACTTGAATATATTAGAGAGCTTTCCTTATCCATCTCCCCCTACTGACCCATCACTTTCTCTTTCATATGCTCATTTCGCATGTTAAATTTAGCAAGAGTGGCCTTTACATAAATGGATTAGCCATATCTAAAACATATACTATGATTTTTGTGCTCATGCGCAGCAGGAGAAATACACATCATCTATCTAGCTACAGGCCTGAGATTCCTCCACATTGAGGAGTAATCCTCTGCATTACAAATGAGCTCTGAAGGACACTTATTATTCCAACATCCAGGGAGACTTTTGATTATTCACACAGCCTGAAGTGGGGGGATTATCATGGGGGCAGGTGATACCTGCTCACTTCTTCTCCCCCTTTCGATGTAAATCCAGCATGTGTGACACATTTTGATAAAGTTGTAGCTAAATTTACCCTCAGCTGGGTCTGTGTCCAGGGCACTGCAAGAAGGGCCGGTTAGTGTCCAGAGATTCTGTCTGTCTAGAGCTCTGCAAGGTGGGTTATGTTTACATTTTCTTTCGTTCACTGCCTTTTTCTATCTTTATCTCGGCACGACTCCATCCATAACTCTCCCACTCCCTCTCACTTTCTGACACTTTGCCAAGACTGTGAGACATCAGTCTTACTAGCTTCCATTGGCTGCCAGTGACATCACCAAAGACTCAGCACTGAGAAATACTGGAGGACATTTTTTCACTGACCATTATTGCCTCCCTGTGTTGGTTCAGGGTAATGCGTACAATTCAATTAAAGGCTATGTTCAGAATAGCATACTATCATACTACTATTTATAATTCTATAATACTTTCAATGTGAAAAATAAATAAAAAACACCTGGATGACCTTCTAGATTTGCAAAAAATGCATTATTCAACAAAGAAACTGGGTAATCCTACTGTAGACTGCCATTTAAAAATTTGGGGTCAGTAAGATCTTTTTTCTAAAGTAATCGCTTTTATAAAGCAAGGATGAAATAAATTGATCAAAATTAAATTGATAACATTTTATTTATTTCTATTTCAAATAAATGATATTCTTTTGAACTTTGTATTCATGAAGAATCCTTTATAAGCATCACAGTTTCCATCAAAATATTAATCGGCACAACTGTTTTTAACATTGATAATAAAAATTATTCTGAAGGATCACGTGACAATAGTCAAGTTTACATGGACACTTTTTGTTTCAAATGGAATGAAATCATTTCAACTGATGAATCCGAACAGTGTTTATATGAACGCTAAAAGAAGTTCCAAATGTAGATTCGGGATGTAGACACTGCACAAATATACAGAGTTTCCCGCTGTTTTTGTATACTAACCATCCTCCCTTTCTTTGTTTTAAAAAGCAGACTTAATATTTATCTATTTCGGGTCCTAATTAGGAGACGACAAGCACATGAAGCTTTGTGCAATGATGCTTATATTAATCTAGCAGTAAAAATGTCCATTCCCGCTCCCAAAACAAGACATCTGCAGATGAGAGTTCGAAGCAAGCACTTCTGACACAATGTTATCCTGCAGTACTTTACAGATGATGAGTGGAAAGAGAATTTTTGATTGACCCAACAGTCATTCATTATATTCAACAACAACAACAGCAGCTTGTTCTGTGCGTCATGAGTCATTACGCCATTTCTACGTCATTGCAGGTGTGCAAAACTTTCCATTTTTGGTTTTCAATCCGATCAAGTGTTTAACATATCCTATCGAATGGATTAGAAAAGGTTTATCCCACCCCAAATTTCAATCGGTCTGGGTAATTTTATTCCGCAAAAATTCAGAGCATTTGAATTCAGATTGGACTTTTAAACCAATTGTAATCGGAATACAATGCTCCATGTAAATGCACTTACTGAAGAATGGAGTCATGGCTGCTGAAAATTCAGCTTTGCCATCACAGAAATAAACTACATTTAAAAAAATACATTAAAACAGTTATCTTATATTGTAATAATATTTCACATTATTACTATTTTTACTGTACAGTATTTTTGATCAAATAAATGCTTAGGTAATTAACTGGCATGTGTTATTTTCAATACCTTGCGGCTGGTGTAGTGGGCATGTTTCACCAGTTTTCCATTGAGAGCCTGCAGGAACATCTCATCCGTCACCTTCCCCACATTCATGCATGCCTCATCCAGGACTGCAAAAATTCCCTTATGCTGCTGTTCCACCAGATCCACGATGATCTGGTTGTTGAAGTAGTCAATCTGTTTCCATGAACACATAAAAACAAATCACAACAAAGCTTATTTAGTTATTGCATTAAAGTCAGAGAGATTCATGCAAAATGAGTTTCTTTTTGTATAATATAAACAGTAAAGATGTGAAAAGTTTGGGAAGAAACAACCAAATAAAACCCACATGTTTCCAGGGGATACCCTCTCTTTGATACTCTTCTTGCTCTTGTTTCAACACCAGTTGAATGAAGAGCTGCTGTAGTTTCTCATTACAGTAGTTTATACAGAATTGCTCAAAGCTGGAGAAAAAAAAAAGGAAGAAATCAGACAGACACTAATTATACTAAACAGAGCAGTATAACATACCCAACTATAAGATCCTCATATCTGTACGGTAAAGCATATGCCCTCACCTGTTATTCTGAAAGATCTCAAACCCATAGATGTCCAGGACTCCAATGACTGTGTTCTTCCCATGAACCCTGACATCATAGTTTTTCACCTCGATGATGTCATTGATTCTTCCCACAATCCAACAGAACAGCCGCTCATAAATGGCCTGTGAGAAGCAAATAAAGAAAATTGGTCCATGAAGAAACGTACATGCGAGTAGTTTAATCAGTCAATTAAGTTTGTCTTGGTCAAGCTTTTTATCGGAATTGTACAGCTACAAAGAGATTGTTTTCATAGCAATTGAGAAAAAAAAAAAGATACATTTGCAAGCATATAAATATATACAACACTACCCTTCAAATGTTTGAGGTTGGGTAAAAAAAAAATAATAATAATCATGTTGAAAGAAGACTCTTATGCTCACTAAGGCTGTATTTATTATAAGTAAAAACAGTAATCTTTGAAATTGTATTCATATTTGCTTATTTTGTGTAAACCATGATCATTTTTGCAAGAATATTTGATGAATAAAAAGTTTAAAAGAATACCATTTATTTGAAACTGAATTTTTGTAACATTATAAATGTCTTTACTGTCCCTTTAGAGCAATTTAATGTATCCTTGCTGAATAAAAGTATACATATTTTTTGTACTTACCCAAAGCGTGTCTGTATATACAGTATGTATATATTTATATATTACACTTTTTAAGTTGTACATTTTTTTACAATTTATAATTAGTTAAATATATAAGAGTTCAACAAATAATACAAATTATTTAGGGCCTTTAGAAGTTTTAATTCAGACGTTGGCATGTAGTTCATGAGCGATTTTTTTGGTCCAGCAGTTTTATTTACAGCTGTGTTACCACAGTTTTAGTAACAAGTCCCAATTCATACCTTGGCCAAAGCATCACGGCCATAACTGGCCTCTTGATGAGTGTGCTGTTTGTCAATGACATCGCGGCCGGTGGCCACAGTGCGATAGAGCAGAGCCTTTTCTACATTTTCGTCTTTGGTGGACAGCAAATCCCCCAGAATGGACACTAGCTTAGAGTTCTCAATGAGAGTCACATCTCCATCACTTCCAAACTTCAGATTCCCCTGGTAAGATCAAATAATTCATCAATCAATGAGTTTGGGCTACAGAAACTAGCTGCAGTTAATAATACTTTTTAATCAAGCTTAGGAAATACTAAACCAGATGCAAGATGGTAGCCAGGATCTTGTAGACTGTCTGAATCTCCTCTGTAGTGAATCCAATGACCTTCATGGCATCAGTGACAGCTTTAAAATCAGCACTGTCATTTATAGACGACTGCAAGATTGAAAAGACAACCTGAGTGAGTTACAGTCACAAACAAAAGCTGACAGATCCTGATACATTAAATAAAGTTAAAACATCCTCTTCCTGACATTGCTTCTAATTCCTGACATATGCTATTAATTCAGCTTTAGGGATAACAGCCTGGTTGGTCTTTACCTAAATGTAGACTGGCTAAAAGCCCTTCATTTAGTGAAGCTAAATCAATGCTTTTGAAATGGGAGGTCATTAAACCTACTATTAAATTCACATCTAATTTATAGCTGAGCAATTAAAAGCTGAAAACTGCTGACACAGCAACTCAATCACTAGACTTCCTAAAACAGGAGCGCAACACTCAAAACGCTAATTATTCTGGCATGCTTATGGCTAACAGCTCCTGCAGAGAAACACTGATTTCATACAGCAGGAACCTTTTGCAGCCACAGTCGTGCTGGACAGAGTGTGAAGTTTAGCCAGCATGTGCACCAATAAAAGACTTGGGAACTGGCATGAAATGTTGTTCAGACTGTTTGTTTCAGGGATCTGTGAGCTCAACAAACCAGGCTGTTCCATGACGACACCTTGTTTGTTGCTCTAAATTTGTTTTTGTGCCCGCTCATTAAACTCCCTGCAGAAGCAATGGAACAGTGCTAAGTCATCTCACCTCTTGACTCAACAGGCTAAAGATATGAGGCAATTGCAAATAGGTTTTAATATGCACCATCAGTGTCTACTGTACCCATAAACAACTATAATCAAATTCCCTGCACATCATGTGTGATTGCTTAGCAATGGTTTTATTTTCCCAAGATGCCAAAGGTCTCGAGATCCTTTATGATGTTTGTAAAAACCCAACAAAATTTTTCATATAATATTGCACAAACCTTGCCACCCATAATAGTCTCTTTTAATTTGTACATGATACAATACCTTTATCTGGCCTCCAACTTTGATGTAGGTGTATGCTGTGGGGTCTCTCTGAATGTGCAGGGACCGCAGCTGAGCATCTGGAGCTCCTTTCATCAGCTGAAAAATACATTTAAAACACCTTTGACTTTCCCCACAGGATCCTTTCTCCTGTGTTGATATGAAGAAGCATGTAAATTATAGTCTTGATAATAATGGTATGCAGAGCATTAACAATCAGATGTAATTGTTCTGATGTTCTGAACATGTTTTGAAGCAATAGGACATTATTTTGTGGGAGAAATAAAAGTGAGAGATGATTGGGCTTTGAAGGTTCTGACAGAGCACTCATAAACGCAGGTTTGGTAGGATTTGTCTGGTGTCTCGAATGGCTGGCAAAACAGAAACAGCTTTTTAATGTCTGCGCCTGCGGTGAGTCCTTCACTCACCTGGTAGAAAGAGTGGAAACTCCTCTCTCCTTCCTGCTGAAAAATGACTCGAGACTATGGAAGAAATAAAAAAAGGTGTTAGATAAAGATCATATAAATTTATAATATACAAACATTTCACAGCCTCTCCAGCACACATTATATTAACCAGCATGACAAAAGTGAATGGTGAATGGCCAAGCAAAATGGTCTGTATCATTGCCAGGGTGCCGTGGGTGGTTGTCAGGGTGTTGCTACGCAATTGCGACAGTTCTCCTTCCTGCTGAAAAATGACTCGAGACTATGGAAGAAATAAAAAAAGGTGTTAGATAAAGATCATATCAATTTATAATATACAAACATTTCACAGCCTCTCCAGCACACATTATATTAACCAGCATGACAAAAGTGAATGGTGAATGGCCAAGCAAAATGGTCTGTATCATTGCCAGGGTGCCGTGGGTGGTTGTCAGGGTGTTGCTACGCAATTGCGACAGTTTTTTATGTTTTAATAATGTTTGAAGTTTTGTGTGTGTGTGTGTGTGTGTGTGTTTAATAAGTTACTAAATGATGCCAGGTCATTTCTAGGTGGATGCCAAGGTGTTCTGTGTAGCGTTGCCATGATGTTATAGGTTGTTGCCAGGTGGTTGCTGCTAGGTGATTTCTTACTGGTCAAAAGAGCCATGATATTTTTATCCCTAACTGTTGAGAAATGGCTCTGTCCCTAACTATGGATAAGATTTTTGTTCAAATCATTAACCCTGAGTATGAGCAAAAGTAATTCCGAGCATCGCTAATAAACAGTTGGAAACACTATACTCATGGATAATGCAAGAGAGTTGGGCTGCATGATTTGGGGGGAAAAATATAATTGCAGTTTTTCTGATAAAATCATTTTAAAATGATTAAAATTGTTAAATAATGATGAAATTAGTATTATTATTATTATTATAGTCCAAATTCAAAATTTGAATTTTTTTTTTATTGTGTTTATGAAATGTGTTTATTACTACATGAAATTAATGAACAAAATAAGAAATATTACTATTGTAATATTTTACTATAAAATAAAAATCAAGCACTTAATTAAAGGGGTCTTATTATGCTTTTTCACTTTTTCAACTTTAGTTAGTCTGTAATGTTGCTGTTTGAGCATAAAAAAAGATCTGCAAAGTTACAAAGCTCAAAGTCCACTTCAAAAGGATTTTATTTAACAGAAATAACTTTTCAAAAACTACAACGAACGACTCATTTGGACTACAACACATATTTTCCGGGACTTGTGATAACACAAATATCAACGAATGGGACGAGACCTGGTTGAGCTGCACTAGAGAAAGCAACGAGTGTTATCACTATGTCGGAGACACGCTAGCTTTCCAAGGCAGACGAACTTAGAGTGATTACAATCATCCGGGTTTAAATCTCGCTCAAATTGATTTGATATTGACGCAATATTTACACTGAAGCTCGCAGGCGGCTATGGTAAGGGGCATGACATTTCCCGACCAGGTGCCGACTGGTGCCAATCACAACCCAGCTAACCAATCAAAGCACATTTCGTATTTCAGAAGGCGGGCCTTCATTTGATACAGGAACTATTCGAGCCGTTCATGCCATGACTGGGGAGAGAGGTGTTGTAATAATGTAAAATATGTGAAAAATAATGTGTTTTTCGAACAACCTAGTATGAAAGCCTGTTCTAGTACACCCCCAAAACAAAATCAGGACTTTGTAAATGAGCATAATAGGACCCCTTCAAATTGCAGCCTTTTGTGATTAATTAGTCAAATCGTGATTAATCGTGCAGCCGAATAAGAGAGTCACTTCTATTATTTTCTATACATTTTTTAATCAGAGTTTAGCTTTATTTTCTCCTCTTTAGCCCCCTACCTTCTCAAGCAGGTAGTTGTTGATATGGCCGCCAATGGGGTCTCCCTTAAAATCAAAGTTGATATCCATGTACTTGCCGAACCGACTGGAGTTATCATTGCGGTTGGTCTTGGCATTCCCAAAAGCCTCCAGGACGCAGTTGGACTTCAGCAGCATGTTTTTTACCCTGTATAAACACACTCTTTTCATTTCTACTGCATTTATTAGCCACTTGTGCATCATTTCACCACTACAGCTAAACGAGTGTCAGTTTCAATACGAGGTTGATAGATCTGATTAGCTGGGTCTCCCTTAAAATCAAAGTTGATATCCATGTACTTGCCGAACCGACTGGAGTTATCATTGCGGTTGGTCTTGGCATTCCCAAAAGCCTCCAGGACGCAGTTGGACTTCAGCAGCATGTTTTTTACCCTGTATAAACACACTCTTTTCATTTCTACTGCATTTATTAGCCACTTGTGCATCATTTCACCACTACAGCTAAATGAGTGTCAGTTTCAATACGAGGTTGATAGATCAACATAGCTCCTGACATTTGGTATTAGAGTAAATACACAAATCTGTCTGTATGAAGCCTTTATGAGCAAATATACATGGTTATATCTGGCTATTTTAGTGTATGTAGTATCACCATGTGGTATCCCAGCATGGCAGTTAAGAGTGTTTTAGTGGATGATTTATAAGGTCTACTGCATGGGTCAGACCACAAAATGCTCAGCATTGGTTCTCCTGCCGAAAAGCCATGCATGACCTACACTGCACATTGGAGGATGGTGCCCCACTCAGTGCCTGACAAGCTGAAATACCTACTGCATCCTGTACAATTCAACTTTGCTTTTGCTTTGGACCTTTAGCACAGTATTGCCCAACTTATTTTGCTTTAGGTATCCCAAAAGCACAATCAAAGTTAATTATTTTTAATGATCTTTTAATGTTCTTAATAATTTATTTATTTTAAAATCATAATTCCCGTTTTATAGGTTTAACAAAGCAAAATCAAAGTCTTATTTACCCTCTAAAACATGCTTAAGTGCTCCCTCAAGTATATGTTATCCTGGTTGGAAATCACTATAGACTACAAAATCTGCAATCAGTGATGGATGCCCCTGTGTTTTGGCATAACTTTAGATGTACTTCCTGGAAAATATTTTCCAGTGATCAATGCCCAGTTTCCAAAGAGCTTTAACCTTTAGTAAGCAGAGAAAATAAACCATATCTTCTGGGTGCAATAACACTAATATGAGATAAGCTGATAGCACAAAGCACTATTAATCTGACAGTGGATAACAGTTGCAAAGCATGATTTTATTGTTATTACTATTGCTGCATAGTTAAGACAAAAGAACGAAGGTCTATGTTACATGTTGCACAAGAGCCATATATAAAGAACTTTATGATTAAACATAACATGCCCTACATATTCCTACACTGGGTGTTATACTTCTCATGCTCCACAATTAAAACAGAGATAAAGCAAAAAGCATAGCAGAGTTTCCTGTCATTTATTTATTAAGCTCGACTTGGAGCCGTCATATTTCAATTAGCATGACCCAGTGCTATTTTAATCTCTGCCCTACATTTCACTTCTATCACTCCCCATAAGGAAATTTATTATTTACTCACTCACTACCATGAGAAATTTCACTTTGAAAATTATGTAGGAAAATTACATTGAAAATTATATGGTAATGAACAGCAACTACATAATATAAAATACAGAAATGCTCATTGGTTGTTGATTATAACATTAAGGAGGCATGCTATGCAGTGTGGTCTTAATATGACTCATCACTGCAGCAGTGAGGAGAAAGGAACAGAAAGGCTTTTGTTATACGCACCTCTCCACTTCTGCTCTTTGGCTGGGATTGGTGATAGCAGCAATATATTGCATAATATATTTACTAGCCTCCGTTTTTCCTGCTCCGCTCTCGCCTGCAAAGTAAATAAACAATGACTAATACTTGTATATTGGTATATAATATGATTTAATAAACTGAAGTAACCAATTATAGTCATTCCAATCTACAATGGAATTCAAATGTCTGAGACCACAAGCAAAAATGCTTCTATTTTGCCTTTTTTTCATTTTTTAAATAAACATTTCTTTTTCCAATTTAATATTTTTTCTTACACTACTAATAAAACTAACATATCAATTTGAGTGAAAAATTAACTAAAAAATATTTTTTTAGCATTTGTATTTTTTAACTGCACTGTACACTACTGCTCAAAATTTTAGGGTCAGTAAGATTTGTTTTTAAGTAATGAATATTTCTATTTAGCAGAGATGCATTACATTGATTACACTGATAAAAAGTGGGAGAAATTAAATCTGTAATGTTACAAATGTTACAAATAAATGCTTTTCTTCTGAACTTTCTATTAATCAGAGACTATGTACAACAGTTTCCACAAAATATTGAGCAGCACAACTGTTTTCAACATTGATAATAATAAGAAATGTTTCCTGAGCACCAAATCAGCACATTAGAATGATTTCTGAAGGATCATGAGAAACTGAAGACTGGAATAATGGCTGATAAAAATTCAGATTTTGCACAGGAATACATTTAATTATAATCATATATAAGAAATAAATAAAAAAATATAATAAATAATTAATTATAATTATTTTAATTAAATTAAAATATATTAAAATGGAAACCGCTATTTTAATTGTTACAATTGTAAAAATATTACTGTTTTTACTGTATTTCAAAGAAATGCAGCCTTGGTCAGCATAAGAGATTTCTTTCAAAAACAACAACAACAAATAATCAGACTTCAAACTTTTGAACAGTTGTGTAATTACATTACAGCTATAACCATAACATGGAATATTAATTATTAAAAGTATCAAATATACATTTCACATTCCCCAGGCAACTGGGGAAAGGGTGCAAACAAAATAATCCAAAGCTTTCACTTTTCTGAGTTGTTTGGTATGGCCCTTAACCACAACCACACAAAAATACTCATGGAATTTATTGGTTAAACAAAGACATAAAATGTTGCTCTCACTTCTATTACACCTTACTCTTAATAAATAAACATGTTCCTCTGTTTGCCACAAGATGGCACTACATATACCAAATATTTTTGCAATGTAGTCACCACCTGTGGTCACTCACTGAATAATAATCAATGTTTACTTATAGAGGCAACATCTAAATGGACCAGATTATTTCCCTTGAGCTATGTGCCCCACCTCAAAATAGTTCCACAGTGTCCCAGATGGAAAACAAACACTGTCTCAAAGAGACATTTTTGTAGAAATTGTGAAACAACCATATTGTCGTTAATCTTTTTCACACAATGGGCATGTCTTGAGAAAGCAATTTGCTCAAGCACTGAACTCTATTTTGAGCTTCTGCTCAAGCAGTCCTCTGTGACTGGGAAACCACACACCACGTCAGTGCCCAGCTATTCTCGTCTGACCACAGATCTAATCACATCATTCCCAGTCATACAGCGGCCCCATAAGAAGACCCCGAAAGCCTGTGTTCCAGTAAGGGCTGTTATTTAATCAAATAAAAGGAAGACAACAGGCTGTTTTTAATATTATTTGAGGATGAAGTAATGCATTTTTCTCTTTAAAATGTAATATTACTTCAGTGGCTGCTCAACAGATTCACCCATGAGTTTGATGGTGAGTCACAAGACATTCAGATATAGTCTACCTGAGATAACAATGCAAGTGTCTTTGTTCCTCCTCTTCATGGCTTTATATGCAGCATCGGCGATGGCGAAAAGATGTGGTGGTCGCTCGTACAATTCTCTGCCTTTGTATTGCTCGATGGTGTCCCGTCCGTAAATGTTCATGGCACGGTAAGGGTTAACTGACACTACCACTTCTCCGATGTAGGTGTAGATACGACCCTTTTCAAACCTGCAGCAGAAAGACAAGCACATCATTGATCTGCTGTATTCACATTCATGCATATTATGGAATATTTATTTAACCATGTCTGTTTTTATTTATTTAACAGATCTATTTGGTTTGTGGTCAGTGTGGTTTGTATAAACATATTTCAGAGCCTTACGTAAAGAAAGGGCAGCTTAATTAATTATCTCTGTCAGGAATCAAAAGCAAATAAAAAGCACAGGATAGACAAGGTCATGTATCATGAGCTGTATAATCTGTTTGCACAATAATAAATCCTGCTGAAAGTACCAACGTGAATTTCTAGGCTTGTTAGTACTCAACCAGCACAGCAATGGTGTTGACTAGTCATTCAGAAAACTCAACGACTATTATATCTCCATACCCATTCTAAACTCCTTGGTCACATATAGCCAGAAGTTGACGTTCACCCTGCTTTGAAAAAAGCTGGCTGATCTGAGCTCCATCCTCAGGGGAACCTCACTTCCTTGTTCTTCCAAGCAGACCTGGGTCATGCCTAGAATAAGGCATCCTTTCTTCTCAACCTGTGGGTTTGCCAAGCCTCCCTCAGCTCCATCCTGCCCCAGTCAGTGAGCTAAGAAGTTTGAGGCATGACCTCATAGTCTCATACTGAACTATATTATTGTGCAGTACTGAAGCTCTGAATGGATCTTGGTCTTTTAATTTTCAGGATTCCAACTCTACTTAATTAAGTTCAAACATCCAGGTACATGTAGAACAGTTAGACTCAGTAGTATTAAGAACAGCTGCAATCCCAGGAGAGTATCTTATTTACGCCCTACAGAGCAGAAATGTACCATACAACTACATTCACACAAACAAGTCACAGAAACAGGCCTCAATTCCCTCAGGTCCTCTCACAAATACAGCAGGGATTCATAGAATTAACAGTGATCCTTTAGACCAGAATAATCACTATGGACACATTCTGGAGTGTATAAAAAACGGATTCAGTCAGATTCAATTGTGCACTTGGTATGCATACTTTAAACTCACCCAGTTTAAATCAACCAAAAAAATTTTCAACATTAAAAAAACATTGTCAACATTAAGTCACCCTTTAGTTGTAACATTTATAATGTTACAAAAGATTTCTATTTCAAATAAATGCTGTTCTTTTGAACTTTCTAACCATCAGAGAATTCTGATAAAATATGTATGTTTTCCACAAATATATTAAACAGTACAGCTGTTTTCAACATTGAAGAAATGTTTCTTGAGAACCAAATCAGCATATTAGAAGGATCACATGACACTGAAAACGGGAGTAATGGCTGCTGAAAATTGAGCTTTGCCATCACAGGAATAAATTAATTTATACATGTTTAAATATAATTAAATTGTAATATGTCGCAATATTACTGTTTTTACTGCGTTTTTGATTAAACAAATGCAGTTTTGTTGAACATAAGAGATCTTTAAAAAACTAAAAAATCTTACCAACACCAAACTTGTGTGATTATTACAGCTGTAATCATTTCACACAAAAATAAAACTGTCTTTTTTTTTTTTAAACCAGTATGGCTTTTTTTAATTCTGTGAAACACATTTAGGAGAATGTCTAAGCTACTCTTTTCCATACAACATAAAACAACTTACATTTCAGTATGTTCCTAACTTAAAGCATATGGGTTTTAAAAACTTGGAATACTGCTCACAAGGTAAACTGACTACTTTTATAGTGATTTTCTTTTTTCCTTTTTGCAGCCTGTGGTCAACATCAAGTTTTATTATATGCAAAGGAACTTTCTCCTTTTGTGAAAAAGACAGTAATATGAGTTTGGAACAACATGAAGATCAGGAAATTTGATTTGTGGGTGAACTGTCCAATTAAGTAAACGTAAAAGAAGTTTTATCTCAGCCAAACAGATTCAGCATAGTATGAGTGCTGCTATATATCAGATGTGATGTCAAGGGATGAATGGCAAGCAGGGTGGGATGGTAGTGATGCTTGTGCCTTTGGTGGCAGCAGCCTGTCAGGCCAGCCCTGGAGCAGCCTGCATGAAAAGGCTCTTTTGTGCCAGCCTGCAGAGTAGGATGCTGCGGTGTACCCGCACCATTGTTCTTCTGTCAATGTGAGGTCTGTGTGTAAGGAGCACAGGCCAGGCCTCCACACCCCAACACAGCAGGCTGGCTCTACTTACACACATCAGCCCCTCAGGGAGAACAACGCCAACTAATGATAATGACAGAGGGATCATTTTGATAATTAACTGTATTATGTCTCATTTGTAAAATATATTTTTTTATAGAATTAATTTTAATAACCTAAGGCCCATAAAAAATATTGTACCAAAGCAGACATAATTCAGCTTTTCACAAGCATTTTCCATCTTTTTTATCTGTAATGATCACAAGAAAAATTTTCCATATTATAAGAGTTATCAAAGGCATGTGGCCATGTATGAAACTGATATAATATATATAATATAATATAATATAATATAAATAATAAAACATTTTTAAAAAGAGTCTATTATAAGAGTCTTCACTCAATGTATGGAATACACTAAATGATACACTACCACTCAAAAGATGGGATAGGTACAAGTAATTTTTGTTTTTGAAAGAAGTCTATCAGTCTGTCAAGCTCATAAAGACTGCAATTATCTAATAAAAAATATGTTGGAAACAGTTGTGCTGCTTAAATTTTTTGTGGAAAACGTGATTACAGATTTTATTTTTGATGAATAGAAAGTTCAAAAGAACAGCATTTATTTGAAATAGACATTTTTGTAACAATGTAAAAGTCCCTACTGTCACTTTCACAATTAAAAACATCCTTGCTAAAAAAAATCTTTCTGACCCAAAACTTTTGAATTGTAGTGTGCATTTTACTGTATTTGTAAACACAGCGGCTAATTTTTGAGCCAAATCAAACTCTAGGAAAGACACACTCATGGTATGCTTTTGTCCTTTGATACCACCATTTGGTCCTATCCTCAGGCAATGTGTGCCCTCACAAAAGTTACATTTCAGTATAAACACTGGTATCTATTGCAATTTGTGGAAACAAGATACAAGCTTTTTATCAAAGTCATAGCGAAAACATATTGATGTGATCACTTTCTTTAATGTCAGAGCACACAGCACAAACCACTGAATCCCCCATCTGTCCTCTCATCACATCTCGGCCAGTCACAAATGTGATTCTCAGAACCTGTCAGCAAATCTTGCTGATTCAATCACGTTTCACTTTCATCTAAAGACATGACTAACTCTTAACCCTTTAAGTTAATCCTAGTCCTAGAGGACAGCTGCCCACAGAAATCTATTGTGCGTGTAACAAAATCCCAGCATGTCGTGGGGTGTGTGTGGGAAAACACTGAATCGTCATCTCCCATCTGCCTCTGTGATCAGATTATCAACATCTGATAAAAAGCCCACACTGAATCTGCTCTTTCAGAAATCTAGAAGCAGCTCCATAGATTTACTCAGCTCTAATTTAACCATATTTACAAAATGTATACAATTTTCCCTAAAAACCAGTGTTGAAAATTTCCTGAACATTTCAGAGCATTTTTTAACATAAATAGACAAATATGAATTGTTTTGAAAGAGGACGGATTTAAGGTGTTGTCCAGGTTTTTTAGAGCTTTTCCTGGGAGTGAGCAGAGAGATCTGAGAAGAGGAGTAGGGGCTGAGGCTCTGTCATCCCTTCTTTCCCAGAAGGCCTAGGTAGGGGTTGCTGCTGCATGAAGATTAAAGATGTGTGTCAGACAGCACAGGGCCACTTCCTCTAACAGCTGGATCTACTCCACAGGTTGAAGCATCAGCGTTATTGTCCAGTAATTTATTCCTCTGAACGATAACAATGCTGGTGTACCTAGCATCGTTTTTGATCAGAGGAATACATTTGATTCATTAAGGGGATATTTCACTCAAAAATGAAAATCTTCATGTTGTTGCAAACTATATGACTTGCTAAAAGAAGTTTAGTAAGTTTCAGTGTTTGTTTGTGTTTTGCCTATACAATGAATGCCAATGGTGGCAAATGTTGTTTTGAACCCCATTGAATTTTGTTATAATGGACAAAAACAGTAAAGAAAAGAATTCACACAAGAAAGATATGAGGGTGACTAGATGATAACAATGATTTTTGCAATGATTTTTAGGCCAAATTAGTGCTGGGCGGTATACCGGTTCATACTGAATACCGGTGTTTATTTTTGTTATGATATGAATTTTTAAAATACCGCAATACCAGTGTATGCCGCTTAAACAACGTTCGGAACGCGACACTGTTTGAAAGGGGTCCCTTTTCACTGTTGAACTGTGGTGAGGGAACAGCTGTATGTGTTACTAAGCTTGAAAGTTACGAAACTGAAGCTGTAGAACTAATAGAACGTGCTGACACAGAAGAACTCAACCACAATATTCACATTGACCACCACAAATATCCACCGCCCCCTGCCATCAGCTCCCGTGTCTCACACACACAAGCGCGACTTTAGCACTAGATTTAGCAACTTTCAGACCCTTTTAGTGGCTTTTTTCCATAGAATATACATACTGACAAACCTAGCGACTTTTTTGGATAAACCTTAGCTATGGTTCAGTTGGAAGATTTCGCCAGTGCTGTCCCACGCACGCGAGGTCTGACTTTCCTGGAGAAGTGTCACCTCTCTCGGCGTCTGTTCTGTGCAGTGAGCAGCAGAGAAGCAGCGAAATCAGTTGGCCGCACCGCAGCCGACTCGTCAATAAATGAGTACAAAACAGCGTTTCCAAGCACCTGTCGCTTACTGATTGTTTGGAATTATAAATATGAGCGTAGTTTGTCTGTTAATATCACATGCACTTTTTTTTGTTACTCAGACACAGGCAGCGCGCTGCATGAGACAAAAAAGTAATACAGTCAAAACAACCGCATAGCCGCTCTTTAGCGTAGATGCATGTTGATTTGATCAGACTATAATATGATTATAAATGAGAGTGACTCCTGGTTAACATGTACAGGTGCAATAAATTAGAATGTAGTGGAAAAG